ATATATATAAATGTAATCTGATGTTTTCCATACTCTCTTTGTTCACTAAAAGTTGGGGTGTCTGTGATCTTTAGAAACCTTTATTTTTCCTAACAGTAAATTCTAAGAATTTGAAGACTTCTAGTTCCAGCCAAAATGGAGTGACAGAGGCTAAATTTATCCTTCTTCCTAAAATCACCAAAAAACTAGACAAAATAACTTTTTTTTTAAAAGACACTGGGTATTAGAGCCATAATCACTGAGAGGGAAGAAACAAACTTAGTTTCCTTGCTGTAGTGCAATAAAAGTTTCCTTGCTATAGTGCAATAAAGGGGAACCCAGAAAAAAACTGGAAGATTCTACGAATTGAAGAGATGGATCTAACAGTCTGGGGAGACCAGAGACTAGAGTTCTCAGGGCAAAGTAACAGAGAGAAAGCAGAACAAAGAGGAACTCCAAAAATCTAAAGCATGCCCCATTTGGTATTTTGCTAAGCCAAGATCAGTTTAAGAGTGTGGGGTAACTTACCCAAGGCTGAAATAAAGGACCATCTTAAAGGATTTGAGGAAACAGTATCTGATGCTCTCATGAAGCCAGGAATAATGTACGTTCCCAACAGCCAGACTGGAAAATGTCAACATTCATGTAGCATTTGGTAAAGGGCTCAGAAGGTCCTAACCTCGGTAGTACAGTATAAATAGCTCTAAACATTGCCCTGGTGCTGCCTTATAAATTTTAATAGCAAGACTGGGAAGGATGAAACTGAACTTAACTGATCCATAGAACAAAGCACAGGACTATCCACATTCTTCATTCCTTTTAGACCATTATTCTGTTATTCTCCTGGAACTTCCCAAAATCCTGTGAATCATGTTCTGTATAATAGATTGTTTTTAAAACGGCACCAATTAATCATATCTACATTCATATCTTTTGTAATGTACATATTCCTCCTTCATCAAAAGAGAGAGTCTATGTTCCAATAAGCTTCCTTATGACTTTTTTTGGCTAATAGTATGTAGTGGAAACCATGGTGTGTTGTTTCAAGAACTCAAAGAGTTCTTGCTTGCTTTCACTCTCTCTTGAAACACTGCCACCACCACCATAAAGAGCAGGCCTGGGGCAGCCGATTGGAGGATGAGAGATCCTTTGGAGCAGAACCAGTTATCCAAGTAAGGCTATCGTAGATCACCAAATAGCTAGCTTACAGTAGACAAGGCAAGTGTGTCTCATTTAAGAGATGGACAACTTAGGCAAGCTTAACTGAGATCAAAACAACTTCTCAACTGATCCACAGACAAGAAAGCAAAAGCAAATATCTGCTGTAAGTACAGGAAAC